AAAAATTATATTAACAGCTATGTTAATATAACACAACAGTAAATATTATGGAACTCTGATTTTTTTTACAAGAAACTCACAATGAAAATAAAATACAAATATATCTAATATTAAAAATACCACAATTCAAAAGATAATAAATATAATAATTAGATAACGATAATTTTGAGTTTCAAATTTTGTTTAGAGTAGATCACGTCATGACGACAGGATATGTGCCTGCGCGTTGCCAATGTTGCCGGGGTATCAGCTATATTCATTCCGGGGTCTCGAGCTACCCCGATCAATAATTCGTTTCCCAGCTGTCACGCCCTCGCAAACGAAGGAACAAACGTTCGAACGAACACAATATTAAGTAAAGTTAAACTATATAATTATAGTACAAGACTGTATTATTTAATCCTGTTCAAATCGAAATAATTACATCGAAATATTTTCACAATAGCTGTAAATGTTTGAATCTCTTTGATACAGGATGATAAAAGATGTTTACTCTTGTAAAGCATCTTGTGTAGCATGATGGACGATGTTTACTTGTTTTACGCTCATTTTCATTTGTTCTATCATCATGAAAATACTATTAAATTAAACCGACATCACATTATAGAAGAATTAACGTCATTACTTTTCTAATTTTATTTAATATATAAACATATCTTGCAACTGCAAATCAACAGATACGCCATCTCTTGAAAAAGGATCAAGACTTTTGTACTCATCTTCAATTTAGGTGACAAATATCTAAAGCAAATGAATTATCCATGATTCGTGTCAGATTCGAGGAGAGGGGAGAATAGAATTTTTTTTAATTTTGTGTGTGTGTGTATATATATATAAAACACACACACACACACATATAATACGATATAAAAGATATTTAAAAAAAATTAAAATACATATTTAAAAAAATAAAGACAACAAAGTTATAAATAAAATTCTGACATTTCCCTGAAAATCTGACACGAAGTATAACAAAAAATAAATCTTATTCCATATCTTTAATTATATACATGTTGAAATGTATATACTGCATCTTAATTTGACAAGTACAAATTGATTTTGTATAGCTCGAGATTCGTTCTGTTGGAGAACCGGGGAGGAAATGATCGATCATAAAAGAACTTTGCAATTGCTCGATACAGCGAGACATCCGATCTAAATTCGTTTATTGCTTGTTGTCCGTCTTTCTCGATGGTTACTCTCGACTTTTCGACTTTTGCCAGTCGGGTTGCCAATGCCCCCAGAAAACTGAGATACCACCAGCTGTGTTCACCCGCTTCATTACCTACCGAGTGAACGCAGAGTGGCTCCCTGTCCTCCGAAAGCTCGTTCCGCTGATCTCTCTGGTACGTGCGCACTCTTTTACCGACCGGATAATGGCGTATAATCATTACGCCACATTATGAAGTATCGTCTTGTTGTAAATGTTCGCTTATCTCAATGTGGAATTGCATTGTTTCTGCCAAATATCTTCTTATCGATCGAGCTCAATATCCTCCCGTATCATACTTCGGTTGATGATTGTAGTATGACCAGAAGGATGAGAATTATCCTATTACGTAACTAAAAACAACTCTACTTACTATTCTATATTTTCTTATAAATAATATTCACGAGATGCTTTCTTACAATTTGTAACTCTTGTTCTTTTAATTATATTTGCTATAGAAAACATATACATTAGGAAAAAAAACAACAGAATACACAATAAACGTATACATATATTTATTTAAATTTTTTAACATATGGATGCGATACTTTTCACAAAAAATTAATATAATGAGTAAATATCCACACAGCGCTAATTTACACTGTTGCAATTATTGAATCTCCGGAAAAATACCGGAAAATATCGTTCACCCTATCTGTGATTCAGTAATCAATTGCAAAAAAAATAATAAGAAAAAAACTAAGAAGCTATTAAAACAATTATCACGTATCATTAATAAGCATATAGTGTAAACTTGTCTGATTACACATGGCGTATTCCTTAACAATCTTGAGTCAATATCAATATACAAGTTATGGAAGAGTAACTGAGAAATGTAAATCTTGATTCTCTAATACATTTAGTGGACCTAATATATTTAAATATGTACGTTTTTTTTTCTTATAATATTGCACAATAAAATAAATTAATTTAAGATTTATCTTTTGAATTATTAACTTACGTATATCATATAATAGATTTGATATCTTATCAAATTTTGTTCAAGAGATTTAAAATTTTTTAAATATTAAAATTAAAAATATATATAAAAATATTAATTAAATAACATCAGAAAATACAGAAAACACTATATACATAAAGAAGGCAGATAAAGAAAATTAATAAAAAAGATAGACGTATAATCATTTAAATCTTTCATGTCTGATACCAGAAAAGTCCAATGATTCTTTCAATTGTAAATTTTAGATATTCAAGATACTCCGCCGGACATAAATTTATTAATCGTCATTATATCTCACACTTGTCAGAATATATGATGTATGATCTATATTTTGTTAATTAATTACATTTATAAATTACATAACATACAGCTGAGATTACATTACGCTTTAATTGAGACGAAGACTGACAGTACATGAAAAAAAAAGCTAAAAATTAAACGTTAATCTCTGAATATTATGAAGAAACGCTACGAAATGACGTTGCATTCGATAAATAGTACCGCACTTGCACGACCGATTTAAAGCGCTTAATAGACTCAAATGTTTAAAGCACGCGTCATTATCTTTCTCTTCTTATCATGCCGTTTATAACGTTGCGTTCTATCTTTAATAGCGTCAACAGAGCGCGGCATGTTTTGCGCGCAGTAGTGGTACAACCTGCGGCGAAATCAACGGCGACGCAACCGATGCGACCGACGTCGCGGCCACGTCCCAAGGTCAATGCGATAAGTCGGTCAAACCGCGGGGTTATCGCGCAATTCCGCATTTCGTTCAGCACGTTTAAATGGAAAGCCCAACACTCGCGTGTAACTTTCGGTTTCCCGTCCGATTGGAAAGCAATTTTAAATTAAAGAAATTTCACAACTTTCATCAAATTCTCCATAACAGTTGTTCGGCGATTAATAAAACTTGAAATTTTATTCTTCATTATAAATTCTTGTCTAAGAATTTCATAAGCATTATTTCTAAAAAACAGAGTTGGCAAAAAATATTTTTTTCTTAAAAAATAAATAAATATTGTATTTTTTTAAAGCAAAGTTTTTAATGCTTCGTACACGCTTTAAACGTTAGTATTACAAAAAAATATGTTTAAAATATATTTAAGCATTTTAAACAATTTAAAACACGTTTAACATGATTTTTACCAACTCTGACACAAATATAATATTATATCTGATGATTTACTTTCTCTCTCTCTCTCTCTCTCTCTCTCTCTCTCTCTCCCCCCCCTCCCCCCCTCTCTCTCTTTCTGGGTGCGTGTGTGTGCGTGCGTGCGTGCGCGCGCGCGCGCAATAGTTATTCCCAACCTAATTTTTACAAATATATATTTACTTGCCACACTCATTTTTTTTTGGCAATAATATACAGAGCTAAAAAAACTGCGTTTGAAAAAATAGCGAGTCCATAGTTCATGAATGACGAAGCTAAAAATGGCCCACCCGATGACGCACTATTTCGGCGTCGTGTTCAGTCAATCGTGCCAAGGTTCGGGCAATTGCGTATCACATAATTCATACAACCTTAACTTTATTGCCATTCAATTACTATGTTAACCATAATACTTTTTTAAATATATATATATATAGTTTCGCATAAAAAAACTTCTTTGCGTGACAATCTATTTAAATAAATTAAGTGTCGAAAGCATTACTGCGTTTATTTAACTAACTTATTTACAACATAATTTTGTTCATACGTTTTTATTAATCTCAAAAAATTGTTTGCAACACTTTGCGTTGCTCAATATTTTTTCTACCGTTCACTAATGACATAAGAATGATCAAACGGTGTTGATAGATCACTTCTCGATCGAATGGAGAAACCTTGTTTAGAGCGCTAATCAACGACATAGAGAGCCAATTTCTCTACAAGCGGCGTAGAAAGAAGTTGTTTTCGGAAGCTCACGCGGCTTCATTGAGAGCGCTTGGAAACGAGCCAATAAGAGATCGCACAACAGAATGTTTGTCGCACATCAATGTATCATTCGAACGACGTCATGTATCGTGTATTTCCTGATAGGCCCGATACAGGCCAGCGTATGATGTATCCGAGCGGAATCAAGTCAATATAGAACATGCATATAGGTGATAAATTCTCAATGTAATTGACAATGTCGCTCCTTATGAAGATTCGTATCAGGATATTTTCAAACGATATCATCAAATCAATTCACGCAATATTTCGTACAGGATTCTGCTCGGATATTGCAAAAAGAAGTATATAGATTCGTTTGCACTACAAGATTTTTAGACATTTTTATATGTAACAAGAATTTGTATAAATTGATTTTTATCTTGAAATGTATAATGGAAAATTATTTCAAAGTAAGATACTTTAATAAAATACAATTAATAATGAAGATTGTTTAAATAAAGACCAAGTATTTTGTTCTGTTTAAAAGAAAGTTAAGCGTAACAATTTTTGATCATTTCATATAAAATTTACAGATTATCGCACTGTTATCAAAATACTATAACAAGTTGTTTCGCTTATCTATTCTCATATAACTATCGCTGCGTATCGTACGCGCTTTGTAAACAATGATACAAGATTTCAAGGTAAAATCATAATAGCAATACCAAAGATCATAAAGAGTGCAAACAAATCTTAATTGCCAATAAAATATATTTCTGGTAAGATCAATCTGAAAAAGATTCGTCCCTTGATTTTAATTTTCTATTCTTAATTGTTCATAAAATATATATTTGTTAATTTTTTTCATGTACTAATTGGACTTGCCTAATACAATAAATTAAATTTTCCCAAAGGATAAAAAGCTAATTTTTCAGATCGATCTTACAAGCTTGATATGAAGAACAACTACTTACAGTCTGCTGCTGGGTTCGTTGTTAGCTTCGTCACCTTCAATTCGATACACCTTGCCGGACATGACGTACTCAAAGCTATCCGCTCTGGAACCTCCTTCTTGTTCCATAGGATTCCACTCGTTACCATCTGGATATCCATCTTCACGTAATGTCGTCGACAGAACAAGACGGAATTTATCTCCTAAACATACAATAATATTTTGTTACACGCATAAGAGCTTTATCCCACGTACCGAGTTTTCATTCATTAAAATCTTTGTTCTGTACGTTACTAGACCGTAAAATATCTTTAATTACATAGGTAAAACAATTTTTTTTATAACTTGGTTATTATTGTATATAACTGGAAAAGTTGTAAAATTTGCAGATAAATATGTGTTACATAAACGTCATTACTGTCAAAAATATGTAATATCTCAGAGAGAGTGAGAGAGAGAGAGAGAGAGAGAGAAAATGGCACAGGTAGACGGAAACAAATTTATTGAACGTATCATGTACATTAACACAAAAATATAATTCCTAAAAGAAACTAAATCTCTTGTAGAATTGGAAAAATTAAATATAAGAGAATTGATGGAAAAAGTATACTGAATCATACTTAATACTTAAATGACTAAGTAAATCATTTTATAGACATTTTTATCTGCGTTGTAATACTGAGCTTCAACGCAGGATGATCCCGATGTTTCTTGAGTATAAAAAAAAACAGACAAGCCATGCAATGACGGAATATAAACGGATCCAATAATAGCTTTCACGCGAATGCATCGAAAACACATCGCTCTACACGATTGCATCAGTCTCATTGCATCCACTTATTGTTGCTATTAAAGTGTGTAAACTAACGGGAACTGTCCTTTTCATCATGCATACAATATTTCGATAAATACGTGACACTCACTTTCTGACTACGTAAAGTGCACTTCAACTGCGTTGAACAAGCCGTTAAAATACAATTTACAGAGCAAAATAAGAATTTGTAAAATTGTGAAAAAGTGAAAATAATCTCGTTAATATATACTAATTAATTAATATTAATATATAAGTAATAAAAACTTGAGATATCAAAATAAAATTTTATTATTTTCATTTATTATTGTTTTATTATTTTATTTAATACGATTAATAGATCTTTATAAAACATTTTTGTAAAAATATAATTTCATTGTTATGAATACAAAACACTTTATTCACACGGTCAACGGGATGTTGCTAATCGTGAGTATTAAGAAGAAAAAAAACAAAGGTTAATTTAAATCCAATCGCTATCGTTAAATTAAATTAATTTACTGTCCGAGAGAGATTTTTAAATTAATTTACTATCTGATTTTTAAAGATATCTTTCTATTGCATCAGATGTGTGTTTATAATGTCAAGGTAAGCTCGCATGAAATTACGTGAGTCGAGTTGTGCGAATTGAAAGCTTCTAGAATCGATTAAGTTCAATATCGAGAAAGAAAAAGAACTGAAACGAACTGAAAGGTAGAGAGAATATAAGAAATGGGATATAAAAAGAAATAGGAAAGAGAAATAAAGAGAGAATTGCTAAAAGAAAAATCATCATATATAGATATATTGCCGGAGGAAAAATAAAGTAGACAAGGAAAAAGAAAATTGAAGCCACGCTTTAATAAAATTTGACGAATAAATCATTTTGGCATCGCTATATCGAGAGACGTAAACTATGAATCTGAATTGAATCCATTAATTCAATCACGAACATTATGTTATATCATTAGATTCGTCTTAAGCAAAAATTTTAAAGGGCCTTTTGAGACTGTCGCAACGTATACTGCAATTTCAATGTAGATTTAGCGAGCATAATCGTTAGTACGAAAAAGTTGCCAGTTTCCATACGAAGCCCTGAGCTGAAACGATACGTAAGAAAGCCCGGGACGCAAGGTCAAGGTTAAGCACACACAACGGCAGGTATGGTGCGAGCTTTAATCGATACTACATCGTTGCCGCCGCCGCCGCCGCCGCCGCCGCCGCCGCCGTTGCTACGCTGCTGTCGTCTCCGCGCAGCAAGAAAAGATTACCACCCATTTACAACAAGCAAAATTTTAGACTCAGTTTTTCGCTCCATCATTATTCGCTTATTTATCTCTATTTTCATTTATTTTTTTAAATGGAAATAGTCTCATATTTACCATTTACCATTTATCGTCTTGTTTAAACAATATAAGAAATAATATATCGAAATAGAACATTTTTCATAAGTAATATATGAAAGCTTTTTTGCACGTAATAAATGAAAGGCTAATAATGTTATCAGCGCGAATGAGTCCGGGAAAACTGGTCAATTGATCTCACCGCTCTTCACGAAGAGTAGGTACGAGCTTACATCATAATGGTGTCACATCGTAACAGCGACGGTTACTATAGATCATCCGGTCGAGTGTTGCGCGGTAATATCTCTCGCGCTTAAATTAACCCTCATTCAACCAAAACGCCATGTCCGATGGATGATCGGATTTGTCTCTCGACGTAAAACGTAAACTGTTCCAAGGTGCATGACGAGTAATTGGATTATTTCTATTTATGAGAAATAAAAAATAAAATAAGACATTCGAAAACGATATTTTGCTCGTCTAAATAATAAGATGGTTCGAATTCAAAGGAAGATACTCTAAAGTGACGCGACGATACGCAATATCGATTACATTCAAATACTAATTGAACCAATAAAAGAATGGATAATTCCGGCGAAACCGGAAAGAGAAAACGAGTTCCAAAAGATCAGGCGCGATTCACGAGAGTGACCTTGAGAGAGAGCCGCTGCGATTCTCGCGTAGAAAGGACCTCCCACGAAATCGATAACGCGTGACAGTGGCGGCGATATACTACATATAGATATATCCAACACAATGATGCGGCTTACCTCGACTCGACGCGACGCAGCGCGGCGTAGCGCGGCGCGGCGCAGCGTCCGTCCGGATCCTGTCCGAAATCCGGGCCGCCATCTTGGCCCGTGACGCGAATCTCGCGCCGCGGCGCTACTGCCTCCTCCGCGACCGCGGGTATTCCGTGGTATTCTGCTCCTTCTGTGCGCCGCATCGCGCCGCGCCGCACCGCGCCGCGCCATACGACCTTGCCGACCTTCCCGTTCCCTTCCGCGGAGCGGAGATTCACGAGATCACACAAATCGACGCTCTCGATCGACAGCGCGCACTACGTATTCTCCATCCCTCCTTGTCAACGCCCACGCGTTCTATCTCCTCGCCGTTGTCATCGTCATCGGAATTGTTTTTACAAAGAGACGGAGTACTCCGTCGAAATATTCGCGTCATCTACGCGGCAACATCTCGAGTAAATTATCTTAAAATATATCCGTGCTGCCGTCAAATACACGAAAATTTCCTCGAAACGAACGACACTACGACGCGGATGTCGCATATTCAAAATGTCTGCTCATTCGTCGTCGTCGAGACGGACATCTGACGCACATACGAGCGTAATTTGCACCTGCGAAACTCGTCAACGGGCACTTGAACGTAGCGCGCACGAACCTAGTTTGCGAAAGCAACACATAGACGACATCCGCATCGACGAGTGGCGACGACGGCATGACGACAGCGGGACGATGAGAGGAAAGCGGAGCGCGACGTCTTTTACTCTCGCTGTCGTCGAGGAAGAGACGAGAAGCGCGTACGCGGAAAGAGGGACACCGGGCGCGCACACGGAACAAGCACGAGCGAACCGACGAGAACGAACGAATATCGCGCGCACTTACGACCGACATGGTTGGGAGTCGTGGCCGCTTTGACCTTGGCATTGAACTTGTGGGCGCCGGACGCGGGACGAGGTGCGCGGCGGAAGACCTGCGCCTGCGGAAGGGAGCGCCCAAGTGGGGAACGCAGCTGAGCTGCGGAATGAGTGGCCCGGGGTAAAAAGGGTGAGAAGAGAGAGAGAGAGAGAGAGAGAGAGAGAGAGAGAGAGAGAGAGTGGGAGGGAGATTGCGTCATCTCGCGCAAGCCTGAACGCGGCGCGTCAATACAGCGGCGAGGCGAGGCGAGACTCGCCTGCCTGCCTGCCTGCCTGCCTGGCCCTTATGGACTAACCTTCTCGCGCGCACATACACATGTACATATTATGTATATAAATCATATATCTACTCATCTATCTATATCGTATGTGGTCCGTAAATATACGCGCGTTACGATTTCACACTAACAATTCAACAATTCAATTCAAGAATATGTAACAGACGTTTTATCATGTGACATCTGATATTACGAATATTACGAAATAACAAATTTGTTCAATCGTAATTTATTTGTTTCTTATCGCTTTTAGTCTGAGCTTTCTATACCTTGTCATATAATTATTCATAATGTATGTACATTCCAGAATTTTCAAACAATAATTTCAAACTTTTTAAAATGTAATTTTCTGTTTCCTTTTCGCAAACGATTCTCACATTACGTGTCATATCATTGTAAATACGCGTATGTTAAAAATACCGAATAAACCTTCGATCCATAAAGTCGATATAATTTCACTTTGGAATTGAAGTTGAGCTCAATTTCGTTGAGCCTGTGTCAAAGAGATAGAACGCGTCTCTATCCGACAGACAGTAGGTTGTATCGAAATAAGGCATCGTTGCCCTTAGTTTGAATCAACTTCACCAATCGCTGCAACCGCATCGGTAATTCAGAGGCGGAGTCAAGACGAGCCTCGAAGTCAGACTCGGTCAGTGAGTTTCCATTGGTCAAGTTCAGAAACGAGGAAGCATTAATCGCCGCGATCGCACTGCTCTTCGGCGAGACGCAACGTGCTCGTTGAAGCAAAATGGCCAGACTCAACGATAAATCGCACGTCATCGTATCTCCGATATAATCGGACGAGCGATCGCGAAAAGATGGCGGGTTAAGAAAAAAGATGTTAGGGGTAAACTATTTCCGTGGACGTAGCGGCGATTAGCGCAGAAATGAATCGAAAGACAATATACATATACACATATGGTATCACCATCATTTGTCGTGTGGCAAATATAACGCAAAATCAAAAAATTTTAAAATTGTAGTCATTAAGTTACTCTTTGTATAAATAAAATAAAAATATTCAAAGGTTAGAAACGAGCGAAATTTCGTAAAAATATTTAATTGATATAATTTTTCTTCTATCGTATTGAATTATTTTTATATTATTTTGTACATAAAAGATATAACGAAAAATATTTACAAATACGTAATATGTGTAAATGCAAATAAAAAAAATTATATATAAAGATTATATAAAGCTCCTGACCACTCACCACACTATTCAGATTAACAATATCAGAAGTGAAAAATATCCAATCAAAATTATTGTAAAATATATTAAAACAGAAATATTTTTCAATAAAACAATATTTGCATTTGATAGAGTACAGTTTTAAAATATAAATACCGACAACTCTTCTTTTATTTTGAAATGGATTAAACTCGTATTGTATACATAACTAGTTTCAATTTTTAGTTAGCCATAATTTAATTTCAAGTATATAATTATTTGATTCCAAAACATAAGAGAATTTTTGGTATATTTTACAAATCTATCCCATCAATTGCGAATGTTGTCTCATTAAAAAATATATATTTTAACATATATTTTAAACATATTTATAAAATAATATTTTAA